TATGTGACAATAATTCTATTGAGTGAGACACAATTCTCACTTGGGTTTTTAGTACTTAAAATGCTGAAAGGTAACCTTTTTCGAGCAAAAATGTGAGAAAAACTTGTCGAACACCATTTTTAGTAGTGCGAGAACTTCCAGCGTAAACGATTATGGTGTCCAAACATGGCTTCGAAATTACCCGTGCAGTCAATCCAGTTGTGCAAGTTCCTTTCTTCTTCCTTTTTCTTTTTTTTTTTTTTTTTTTTTTTTTGTGTGCAAATAGGAATTTATTAAAATTGATAATTAAGTTTTATAGAATACAATCTGATATACACAACAACCATTTTGCTCATGGTTAAAACAAGAAAAACAAAAAGAAGGAATGGTGTCAAAGATCACATAAGCCCTCTCCATAAGAACATTATACTTGACAAGTGTATCAATTATTTCATTAGCTTACGGTTGATATGCATGATAAGGATAAAGTCAAGCCTCTAGATCAATAATCTGGAGGCAGCAACTAATGGTTTATGAGATCTGTTAGCTGCAAAAACCTCATTAAGTGTATCAAACTACAAGGACAGAATCAGAGTCAATTTCATTCCTTTTCAAATTTAAATCAAGTGCCAATTCAAGTCATGCTTACGTTCCCCACAACTCAGCATCGTTGTTGGTCCCATAGCCAACATTTTTGGCAAAACCAGCAACCCAGTTGTGCAAGCTCTACTGGCCCACTGTTACACTTATATTCCATCTGTTCGGATGACAGAGTACAATACAGGAAAAATTTTACGGTTTTGGGCTGGCTTTATTTACGTATCGCAATTTTGCAAATGTCTTCATTGCAGCCCGAATGAATTGGGCTTCCACTTAACTCCCTAATTTATCTTGTTACAAAGGCCCGCACGATTACCCCCCAAAGAAAAAAAAATATACAGAGGGAGCACATTGTAGTTTGTAGGAGTTTTTTGTTTTTTTTACGCTTTTTTTTTTAACAAATACAAATTTGAAAAGATGGAGATTTGAACTTAACACTTATGGATGGGATGCAACTTTTGCAAAGGTTTATAACCAATTGGCCTTCTAAATTAGATGCAAATTAAACCTTTTATGCCTTCATCAAAAAAAAAAAAAAATTAAACCTTTTATGCTTAGTTTCTAGGAGTATTAAACAAAGCAACCTTCGTAATTGGAAATTATCAGTATTTAGTTATGCAAAGTGTAGTACTCCTTTCCATCTAATTTAGTTGATATATTTATTTTTAAAAAATTTTAAATGAGTTATTTATTTTCTATTTTAAAAAGACATCAAATATTATTATTTCAATTTTATCATTGAAAAATAAGGATAACATTAAGGTTTTTTTTTTTTTGGGGGTTTAATTGTACTTAACAGTAAAAATGAAAATATAAATACCAATTATTGTGTTACTTAGTAAATAAAATTTCTCTATATGCAAGAATGAATAAAGTGGAATAATTAAATTAAATAAGATGAAATATATAAGTTAATTTAAAGATAATTGAATAATATTATCTAATTATAAAAAAATATTTTTCAGTGTAAAATGCACTTTTTTATGTAGTTCAAATAATGAAATTATTAAAATAGTTTAAATAAAACTGCCTTTATATTTATTTATTAATGATGTTTTAATAATTTAATACATGAACTATGCAAAAAATACAGTCCATCCTAAAAAAGATATTTCTCACCTAATTATTTATTCTTAATGTTATTTTATGTTAGTATTATACTAGCTCGCAAGTCTAATGCCGTTGCTTGTCGCGCAAGGATAAGGCACAATCTCATCTCATCAGTTTTCTGATTTTCTCAAACATGGCAAAAGTTCTTATCCTTGATTGAGAATTATGATAAAGTTTTTGTCCTTCTTTTACACTTTTGCTTAAATGTTTTTATTTTCTACTGTATTTATTACGCATCATGCAAATATGGTATTTAGTTCAGAGATTGATAAGCTGGCGTGCACTGATTTTACAATTATGGTATGTGTATGAAAGCATTTTTAGCTGGTAAAAAGTTTCTTTATGAGCACTTACCATATTGTTCTTATATATTTTAAATGCACAAAACTGTTTACAAGAACAATTTATTTCAATAATTTTACAAAAAGAATTTATGATATACTATTTAAATTATAAATTCAAATTATTCATCAAATCAATAGTTTATAATTGTTCCCTAATTGTTAGTAAAAAAAAACAAAGTCTAGTTTAATACTCCTACTTATAATTAAGATTTTACGAAAATTTTCTTTAAAAAAATTTAAAAAATTTAAATATTTTTAATGAACCTAATCATGTGAATTGATTCATTATAGTATTTATATTATTTTATGAATATTTTTATATTTTTCA